CCCCACAGCAACCTTGTGATGTGATCTATGTATTACCACCGCCACCTCGCGAGTGAAGAAACCAAAGCTGTGGACAGGGACCCTGCCCCGGACTCTGGGTCCAGAAGCCTCAGCCAGCCTTAGACTAACTTGCCTGTGGAAATCTTTACTTTATAAAGTTGTGTAGTAGCTACTTTGTGCCACTTCTAGTTCTAGGGCTCACTTAACCCCAGTGACTGCTTTGAGAGAGCAGTCTCACACCCTGGTCATACAACCATTTTTTACTACAGGAAGAACATCCATTCAAATGCAACCGTTTTTCAACTTATCCCTATTGATCAGTTAACCACCAAAAGTATAGTGTCCCCCCCTTTAACTATTTAAGGATAAACGCCCAGCAGCATTAGATCTCCATGACAATCAGTAACTGGTTTTGAGAGCCAATCCTACTACAGAAGGTGTTTCTGTGCAAATCAGGAATAAAGTCTTGATTCTGTTATAATCTGCTTGCCCATGGTCAGGCGATATACTGCCAACTCCTCCGTACATCCTTTCTGAGGGAATTGCCAGGGTTTCCTAGAGCCAAAATAGTGACTTTGCACATTTTTTTTCTGTCTACCACCATTATAGAGGAAGAGTTTTATAAAACACAAATGTGAATAGCGAGGTATGCTCCAGCAGAGTCCATCATTTACTAGGAGAGGAAAATTAGGGGCTCTTTGCTTAACCCACCCCTCTCTTCAATCCATAGCCTCAATCATTCCCTATGAAACTCACTCCACTGCCTGAGCAGGTGAAGCCAGGTTAACAGGGTGGCCCAAGGAGACCCTCAAATCTAGTCACCAAGTATCTGCAAACCCTCACTTTTTTGCACATTCCCTTTACTCGAGCCATCCTATCTTTGTCTCTAAGAGCCTAGTTTCTGTGTCCCTTCACTCAGCTCTAGAGCCCACCTGCTGTCCCAGTCCGAATAAAGGCACAGCCCAGCCAGAGCTCACCAGTGGTTCTCAACCTTACTAATGCTATGACCCTTTAATACAGTTTCTCATGCTGTGGTGATCCCCCAACCATAACATTATTTTTGTTGCTACTTCTTAACTAATTTTGCTATTGTTTTGAATCGGGTGACCCCTGTGAAAGGGTCATTCGACCCCCAAAGGGGTCACAACCCACAGGTTCAGAACCGCTGACTGTTTGCCTATTAGGCCTGCGGCCACAGTTG